TCTTAGGAATAGGTAGTATTTGACACTTTCAAAATTTCGAAACTTTAGCTGCTCACTTCTCAAAAAAAAGAAGAAAGAAAGAAAGAAGAAAGAAAGAAAGAAAGAAAGAAAGAAAGAAAGAAGAAAGAAGAAAGAAAGAAAGAAAGAAAGAAAGAAAGAAGAAAGAAAGAAAGAAAGAAAGAAAAGAAGAAAGAAAGAAAGAAAGAAAGAAAGAAAGAAAGAAAGAAAGAAAGAAAGAAAGAAAATTAATGGAAATTTCGGGTGATAGAGCTGTGGGGGAAAATATGACATTCATGGGGGAAAAACCATGAGGGCCAGGGGGAAAATCTGTGAGCTAGGGGGAACATGGAGGCTAAAGGGAAAATCTGAGTTAAGGGGAAGCGTGAGTCTAGGGGAAAAATATGAGAGCTAGGGGACATAGAGTACAGCTAGGGGAAAAACATGAGAACTAGGGGCGGGGTAAATATAACAACTAGGGGAAACAAGAGAACTGTTGGGGAATAAAATGACAACTAGGGGAAAACATGAGAAGCAGGCGAAAAATATGACACATGATAACTTGGGGGGGGGGGATATGACACCTCAGGGGAGAACAGAAGAACTAGGGGGGGAATATGACTCCTTGGGAAAAAAACAAATATGGGGGAAAATATGACTCCTTGGGAAAAAAAAAACATAAGAAATATCGCACACACACACACATACACATATGGGGAAAATCATGACAGCTAAGGGGAAAAATGATAACTAAACCAAAATATGACAGCGAAGGGAAAACATCAGAGGTAGGGGAAAATACGACAACTAGGGGAATGATAGCAAGTGAGCTTGGGGGAAAATATAACAACGAGGGGAAAATATGAGAGCTAAGAGAAATATAAAGAAGCTAGGGGAAAACATGACAGCTAGGGGAAAACATGACAGCTAGGAGAAAAATATGACAGCTAGGAGAATACATGACAGTCAGGGGAAAAAATGGTAACTAGGGGGAGAATATGACAGCTAGGAGAAAACATGACAACTAGGAGAAAATATGACAGGGGAAAGTATGATAACTAGGTGGAAATATGACAGCTAAGAGAAAAAAGTTAAGTTAACAGTTAAGTTGACAGTTAAGGGCAGAATATGACAGTTAAGGGAAAAATAATAGGAGAAAATATGACAGGGAAAATCATGATAACTATGAGAAATATGACAGCTAGGAGAAAACATGACAGCTAGAGGTATGACAGTCAAGGGGGAAAATAAATATGACAGCTAAGGGGAAAGCATGACAGCTAGGAAAAAATGACACAGGGGAAAGCATGATAAATAGGAGGGAATATATGCAGCTAGAAAAATATGACAGTTGAAAGGATAACATATGACAGCAGGGAAAAGTGACAGCTAGGAAAAATATAATTTGTATGACAGCTAGGAAAAATATGACATCAGGGGAAATAGGGGGAAGCTAGGAGAAAACATGACAGCTAGGAAAAAATATGACAGTTAGGGGAAAGCAGATAACTATGGGAAATATGAAAGTATGACAGCTAAGGGAAAACATGACAGTAGGGAAAGGGAAATATGACAGCTAGGGGAAGCATGACACTTATGGGGAAATATGAAATATGACAGCTAAGGGAAAAATGACAGCTAGGAAAAAATATGACAGTAGCTAGGAAACATGACAATATGGGAGAAATATGAAATATGACGCTAGGAGCATGACAGTCGGGGAAAATGACATGCATAAATATGACAGAGGGAAATATATGACAGCTAGGAGAAAACATGACAGCTAGGAAAGGATATGACAGCTAGGGGAAAGCATGCCAACTATGGGGAAATATGAAATATGACAGCTAAGGGAAAACATGACAGCTAGGAAACAAATACGGTAACAGAGGAAAAACTCCCTTGTTGCATTCGAGATGTGTGACCGCTGGCATGTGACAAGAAAGAGAAATAATCTGGAGAAGGGGAGGATATAACAGAATAAAAACTATATCTATTGATAAATCCGTAGTAGCAGGTATCCATAAACACACACACACACACACGGACACACACGCACACGCAAACACACGGCACCACACACACACGATAATGTAACACACACACCACACACACACACGCACACGCACGCACACACACAACGCACACCATACACACGCACGCACGCACGTACACACACGACACACGCACACACACACACACACGCACAAACGCACACGCATACACACGCACGCACGCACACACACATGCACAGCACACACACGCACACACAACACACACGACACACACACACACACGAACACACACACACACACACACTACAAACACAGGAAACATAAATCGCACAAACGCAACAAAACTACAGGAAATCATAAACAAAACAAAAGCGCACACAAACAAACGGGCAGATACACAAACACGCATAAACACATGTCAAAAGTATCATAACTATGATAAAAAGAAAGAAAGGAATAAGCATGTGAAGGATAATAACACAAAGCAATTTCTGCTGTATAAACGTGTATTATAATACTTGTGTACAGTACAGTAACATATTTCAATTTCAAGCTCTTAACCTGTTTTTTTTTTAACTGAAACAAAACTGACATGATAATTTAACTTGAAGAATGTTATATAACTGCAATAAATTCTGTTTTTTTTTCTTCTTGTGGTATGCGAAAATGCTTAAGCGTTTTGTAAGATGTACGCATATAAACTATACATTCCTACTACTTGACACAAATAACTGTTAACAAAATGGTAGATTAAAGGGACTTTTTTTATCATCCATTTAGTTATTATGCTTCTGGAAAAGGACATTACATATATAACAACACATGCGTACATAGGCCTATCCTATTTTCAGCACCTTATTCATCCAAAAAAGGTATAAAAAAAATCCAACCAAACAGGATGTATCTTCCTCCTGTACCGTACCAAATAAATCTTAAACTAATTTGTACAAGCAGTTAGCCCTTGCACGAACTCAACTGCAAATAAGAGATCCCAATTTTACGAAGGTTGTGTGCAGTTAACGCGTGTGTTAGACTGCAAGCACAACGTATACACAAACTTCAGATTACAGTTCACTTCCTGTAGTGAGACTGGTCTATGAGATTTTACGGAAAATGCTTTTGAAGTTGCAGTTGACTATCTACAGTCACACTGCTATCACAGATCATGATCATGACTTTCATTACAGTTAACTCTACAGTCAGACTGTGTCATGTCACGTAAAAGACTTCATAAAACTTAAGAGTCTATAATTTCCTTAATCAAGTGACTCTTTTTGACTGTTAGTCTTATGTCAACACATACAAATATTATTGTTCTGGGCATATTGAACAGTTAACACTCTACAGTCAGACTGATTCATATAAAAAAATGCCAGATGTCAATTTGAGATTACAGTTAACTTTCTGCAGCTAGACTGTTTCATATCGCGTAAAAAAAAATACTATAGTGCTATGATTTTACAGTTAACTACCTGCAGCTAGACTGTTGAACTTATATTATAAACACAATCCAAAATGTTCTTAACTTAATCTCAGTCAACGCTCTATAAGCAGACTGATTTATATCATATGAAATATTAAATATCATTTTGAGATTACAGTTAACCTTCTACAGTTAGACTGCTTCATATCGAGCTAAAAACTATAGGGCTATAATTCTACAGTTAACTATCTGTAGTTAGACTGTTGAGTTTATATTACAGTCCATAGTGTTCTGAACTTAATCTGCAATTAATTCTTAGTAAGCAGACTAGTTCGTATCTTATAATATATCAAACACTAACCTTCTATAGTTAAGACTGTCTCCTGCCACATAAAATCTTATCTATATGAACCTACTATCATTTACCTCATTAATACCACTCCAAAATAAAGTTAATGACGCCAATTATGCTTTTGATTAACAATTATCACAATGATTGTGTTAATTTCTTACCAGCTTTCTTTGTTCAAGTTTAAGAACCCTATTCGTGACCTTCTTTGCTTTCTTAACAAAGGCTACATGTTCTAATCAGACCCTCACTGACAGTAAGAAAAAAAAAGAATAAAAAATAAATAAATTGTAAAGAAAACAGAAACTTACAAATCGTTCCTTAAAAGAAAAGAAAGAAAAAAAATATATATAAAGAAAGAAAAAGATAGATATTTGCGAGTCGTCTCTTATCTCAAAAGAAGAAAAAGATAAAAAATATAACCATAAACTAGCATCTCCTTCCCTTCTACAAAAAAAGAAAAGAAAAGAAAAAAAAAACAAAAAAGAAAAAAGAATAAAAGAAAAAAAAAGAAAAAACGAAAAAAAAAAAAAATTATCCACATGTCTATCCACACTAAGCAGGCGATCCGTTGGGCATCCTCTCATACCCCCTCCGGACTTTCATGAGGCGTGAGTGGACACAGGGTATGAGGAGGGGCACTTTGAGCAGAACGGTGAGGAAGCACAAGAACACGATGATCTGAAAAAAAGAAAAAAGAAATTGAAAAAAGGGAAAAAAATCATTTATTGAAAAAAGGGGGAAAATCATTAATTGAAAAAAAAGGAAAAAGATCATTACATTAAAAAAGGGAAAAATCATTAATTGAAAAAAGGACAAAAAAGTAAATGAAAAATAAAAAAAAAAAAGGAACAAAAATCATTTTGTATTTTGTCATTTGGGGTTAATTTATTTATCTAATGTATCTAGAATGAATGTAAGAATTGATGTATTTTTGTTGTACGAGGCTAATGTATTAATGTAATGTATCTAGAACAAATGTAATTTTGTGTCTGGAATCATCTTACCGCATTTTTCGAGGAGAGGCAAAGTAATTTTTGTATGTAATTTGATATTACATTATATATATTTTTTTAAAAATCAATAATGATTTCTAAAAATATGTATACATAGAAAATATTTATTAAAAATATATATTATTTCAAAAAATATATATTATCATATATTAAAAAAATTAAATATATAGATATGATATATAAGATATATAGAAGATAGA